GTCATTACTCATTTACTGGCTTTACCAACTTGTTTTCAAGAAGCTGGCCCAGGCTGAGGCTGGCAGCTTCAGTGGCTGCTGACAGGCTTTGCTGCCTATGTGGCCAGGGCTGGAAAAGACCTATTTTTGTCTGAAATATTGTGGCTCTAATATCATAATTTCAGTAGGTATGAAATCTCGCGGCTCGAATGTCACAAATTTTTGTTTGATTGAAAAAATCGCTGTTTGCACTTCGCAAACATGTCATTTCATAAAATTTTCAACTTGCACAATCCGCATTGCTTTGCCGTAACCAGCCAAAATATCCTGCAGAAAAAACATACCTAAACCTTGTAATGTAAACAAATCAACTAAACGTTTATTTGAGATCGCACTGTACCACTGTCATAGTCGCCGTGTAATTTTAAGATGCGTTGCCAGGTAGTTTTCAATGAAAAGCCATTTACGCTGAGTAATGAAAAGCAATTTACAAGCCACAAACTTATTTACAAGGTTGCATGCACGTGTTACCCCAAATAACTAATTTTACCCTAAAATCAGTCTGATTGTACAGCAAGTGTCTGAGTGTCAATTGATTGAGCTGAACATGTGATAATGCAGTGGCAGTCTGACTGCTCTAATGTGACCACAACTACATAATCATAAGCTTGATGTTTACATTTTTTTGGGCAGGAACTCATTGCAACTGATTTCCAGACAAGCTTCAGTGCTTCACTGCATCTGCATCCTGATCAATCCAACATATCGGAAACCTTACTTTTTTTAAATAGTTGGCTGCAGTGGCCGAAGACTGACAAATATATTGAATGCAAGAATTTCAATCTAAATGTGTCGGCAAGATCTTCTGAAGGCATAAATTTTGCTACTGAAACGTGGCCAAAGATCTAGCTATATTCATCCACTCTCTGCACAGTGTTGTCAAGAGTGCCGCAAGAATGTCCATTGCCACTACCTTGATGGACGGCCAATCTTGTCCACTGGAATGCCTGTGAATAAAAAAAATGTTAGAACTTTTGTTCAGAAATCTGCCTGTAAGTTAATCCTAAAATTAAACATCTATTCATATTCAATTTATTTTTGCGGTTACCCATGTAGGTAGTTCCGGGTTCTGACATAATGAAAAGGAAGCCTCTAAAAATAAAAATAAATAAAATTTTCAAACAATTTTTTTGTCTACCAGGCAATGAAAAAAGAAATAAAAAGACAAATGAAATTATAATTATATATTGAAAAATCATAATTAATTTCGTAGTTTCATCCGCAGCGCGGGAAGTGAAAAATGTAATCCGAGATTTTAATTCTGCTCCCACATACGTACCGGGCACTTTGATATGGACTAGTTTAAGAATATGCTGTCCGACTGTCGTTCAGTGTCTAATTTAATAATGAACTATTCCATTCGAATTCGCTTGCTAACAAATTCAATACTATGGAAGTGGGTTTTTAAATGATGAAATGTGAACGAGATTGTGAGGAAATGTGAATGAGTGTATGAGAAATTTTGAATGCGTCTAAAGAAGGACTTGCCATAATCCTAGATTGCCACCCTGCTACCACTGTCTGCATCCCTAGTACCACTCTCAGAGGAGATCAGTGCATCATCAAGGGCTTGTTGATACAGGGTCCAGTTAGCTTCATATAATTTCCACCTCACTGGGACATTTTCAGAAGATTTAACAAGCCTGGTTCCAATCTTACAAAAGATTGGGAAATTATCACTGCCTAAGTCTGGCCCTTTTGTTAAGATGGCTCTGGTAGACATATTAGAACTGAGGATGACCAAGTCCAGGCAAGAGGTGGTACCACAGCGATTGTCAATGTAAGTGGGGAAGCTACCATCATTCAAGAGACAAATGGAAAAACCCAGTGAGTGATGCACGAATACTGTCATCCAGTCATTTCTCACTAGAGGCCAGCTCCTCCTTCATGATCCCTCTAAGGTCTGCAAAGGCACTCTCACTCCCCTGCTGTTCTGTAGCAATAACTGTGGAACCAGATTGAGCTTGTTGACTCACAAGAGGCTGAGACTGCTTGGTATGAACACCTGAGCAGCTGCCTTGGGATTGATGAACATCAACTGGGATTTCCACAGTGGTAAGAGCCAATGGTGATGGATAAAGAGGGCTTGAGTTTGCCACAATAGAAGCATAGGAAGCAGGTGAGCGTGGAACAACTGGACCAGGAGATTGTCTTTGTGCTGACAACTCTACTTCCTTAGCAGCCTGAGCATAAGTGTAACCAGTGGCACGCAGCTTTTCTACTGCAATGGCTTTCACAATAAATGGGCACTCTCGGGAATTTGCAGCATGGGATCCTTTACAGTTGGCACAGTGCTTCTCATCTGATTTACAAACTGTGTGCTCATGTGGTCCAGCACATAGAAGACACCTTCCAGGAGAATTACAACCCTCTGCTAAATGTCCCAATCTTTGGCATCTGTAACATCTCAAAGGAGCAGCCACAAATGGTCTTACTGGGTAGGATACATATCCAATTCTGACCTGACTAGGCAATGTCTGTCCCTCAAATGTTAACTTCAGAGTAGCTGATGGCTCACGTTTTCCATTTCGAGTTCTGGTGAGCCTAGTGATGCCAGTGATGACAGAGTCTCCAGCGTTAGCAATTTCCAATATATCTTCAATGACCACACTGAGATCGATTGGACCCACAACTCCACACACACGGATATCTGATCCAGGCTGGTAGCATCGGACTGCCCATTTTCCAATCGTGCACACAGCTAGAAAGTTGGACATCTGATTTCCTCTAAAAGAGGGTGATTCCAAGGCAATCAGCTGGCGCCGAGGATTAGTGCGCACATTCAAATCACTATTTTACCAAAAATTGAGTTCTTGATACCCTGGGCAAGGCCAATTGGGTCCTTCAGAAAGCTCAGAGCATTGGGTCCCTGAGGCTTCACCAAGATGGTCTGGCCAGAACCAGCACTTTGCAAAGTTGAATTAGATGGTAGTGTTTGCTTTGCCTTTACTTGACATTGGCTGCCATATGAATGTCCATTTACTGGTGCACCTGATAATTTTCTGCTATTCACAGCTGCACGTTTCACCATACTGCCAGGAAGACTCTCACTTGAACTGTCTGAGTTACGGTTCCTACGCTTTCGAGCACGAGCAGAATTAGCAGGGGTAGCCTCAATGATACTGTCACTGTCAGGGTCTGAGTTTTCAATAACAAGGTTGCCAGAATCTGCACCACCCCTCTCCACCATTGCAACTGACTCATCTGTCTCCACCACTCCAGATCCAGATGACCCTGGAGGACCAAATCCAGACCCAGCAAGGTAGCTGGGATCCGCCATGTTTAGCCAAACTCCAACTCCTTGTGGAAAGGACAAAGCCAAATGCACAAAACACAAAAAAGTAAACTAATAAAAGAAATAACAATTTTAATACAGATAAAGAAAGAAAAGAAAAATATAAAATAAACTCAAAATAAATTAGGTAGAAGAAAAGAAAAAAAAAATTCAGCAAATCAGAATGGCAAACCCCTGAGGGAGAAAGCCAGTTGTGTTTATAAGGTATCAAACTTTAAATTATTATTATTTTAAGTAAATACAAATGCTTATCCTTCGACAATAAATTCACCGGTTCTTTAGAGAGCTCAAATAACACACGTGCTTCCGCCGTGAACGCAACTGACTTTCTCCCTTTAAGTTGTGAAACCGTTAAAATAATTTTTCCTGGTATCCATAACTGATCATTAACTTTGCATCTTATTAAATGATAGATAAAACTAATTATCTATTAAATTGTTCATATATCAAATTATGAATTTTAAATACTTGTACACAAATTTTTGTGATTAAATAGCGTCACCGCTGTTGAATTTAAATACGCCACATGTTACATGACTAAATGCTTTTCGATTTAAAAAATAAAATAATTACTGCTTCTAAACAACCAACATGTTCTAAAAGATATGAGACGTTTGAAAACTCGTGATGGGAGATGAAATCATCTGGAATATGAAGTGAAGTTATTTAGACAATATCTACAAAATAGGGTAAAAATGTGAAAAGATTCATATCTGGTTGCATACCAATGGTTGTTTATAGTTTAAAACAACTTTCCATCATTTAAATCTCAGTATGGAATGTGGATCAAATCCATTTGTTGTGAAATTAAACTAGACAGAACTAAAACAGAAGTGTGTGACCCCGCCATGTCAAATGTTTTCATGGAAGCACACTGTGCTCGTACGCAGTGAAAGAGTTACAGTATTGTATTGACCAAATCGTGAAAATTTTTTGCAAAGGTGGATATGAATTTTTTTTATTTTAGAACATATTCATTGCAAAAATTTGTCAACTACAGATAAACAACTAGTAAACTTGATTGAGAGAGGCGTAGCCAACACGGTATTGGATTTTAAACCACGCAATATTTCGGAAGCGTGGCAGTTTCTGATGAGCTCAGTGTATCAATTTTCACTGCAGTGGAAGGTGTAATGTGGTAGGTTTTTCGATACATTTTCTTATGTTAACTTGCGAATATATTACCTATACAGAATTCCACACGGATTTCAGACCAATTAATTGGGTCAAGTGAATTCACTAAAAAAAAAGATTAGTAACAAAGAATTATCTCCTATCAAATCGTTGACTAAAGTGTACAATGACACTTCAAGATTCAAAGCTTATTGAACATGTGTCCCTTTGGAGCCAGGATATTCCATAGATAAGTAAAAAAATTTCTATCCTGCTGTGCACCCTGGCCCTGGACCCGGGAGCAGGCCCATCAGACACAAATTCATGGCTTGTTAGTCCAAGAGACAAAATTGGCAGAAAGAAAGAATCTTGCCAAACCATTTAGCTGGTTATTAAGATATTTCCTCTATTAGATGTACACTTGACATGTATGCTAGCATGATAGCATATATTTTATTCTATAATGTTTCTAGAAAAAATTTAATTCTATTCATAACACTGTACAGTGTGATTTGTTGACACTCTTTGAAATTTTTCAATCAATTCTTAATTTCAGAAACAGTTCTACATTTGAAACTGTCAAATCAGATAGAATTAGAATACCAACCAATTAGAATTTTGTGTGCCTCTTATGATGAGTGTTTGTGAATACTGCAAATTTACATATTGATACATTAAGGATTGGTCTAGTTATTATTTCGTATCAATCATGAATGGTGTCATGGATAGCCACCCTGAGGCCTCAGAAGTAGCACATGACTACAAAGAAGCTCTGGCTGACCTGAACAGCTCCAAGCCTCAAATAACATTCTTGACAATGCTGGCTGATGAGAACAAGGAACATGCAGCTGTAATTGTCTCTGCCATTCAAGAATATGCTCATTCGGTAAGTGTAGTGTTTTAATTAATCCCAGTTAATTTCAATTAGCTCTTGTTAATGTATAGTGTCCTTCATTTTCTTATCATGTTTGGTCACTAAATGAAAAAAATTCTTACTGTTCTATATTAAATCTGTAATTATTATAGGCAACTATATTGTACCTTTCTGAATTTAATCTGTAAGTATTATAGGCAACTATATTGCACATTTTTAAATTGAATCTGAAAGTGTTATAGGCAACTATCAATTGGTAGGAAATGCCAATTCTTGCAAAAAAAAATATTTAACCCATTCTTCAGTTGAACCCTCTTTAACTTCTTTCAGCTAAACCCAGTTTAACCCTCTTTCAAGCTTTTTTTAACCTTCTCATAACATACTCTTGGTCAGAGGTCGGTATAAGGCAAACAAATATTTGTCAGAGAGTACCTATCACAGTTTTCCACTGCTTGTAGCAACCAATTCTGGAGGTTTTCTAAGCACAGCTTTTCCTTAGAATACAGATTTTTGAAGCTCCTGCCAAACAGTTTTTATTTGCACTGGGTTCTGTAGGTGTCGATAGTTGTTTGCTATAATTTTAAGAGCCAGTGTCATTTGATTTTGCCAAATAATTGGTTTTAGACAGACCTCTTTCACACAAATTTGACTTATGGCCAGACCCAGGCTTTGCTTAGGATGTTTTTTTCCATCTCTTCTGATAGCAGTCATTACTTTTAAGACAGAGTGCCTTTTGACAAGTCAATCATTTAGGAAGTTTCTGATGCACTAGCGCCTGCCATACAGGCATAACAATTTGGCCTCTTTGAAACTTGGAGAGGCTTGCCATTTCTATTAGGTTTTAGCCACAGAAATTTTATTGAAAAATATATAATAGCATAAAATATCAATTAGCAGCGATAGTACATTAACAATAAACATTAAATATGTCAAGTTTATTGCTAAAAACATGTTCAAAAAATAAAAAATTGTGATCTCAAAATTTTGGGCTTTTCCCTTATATTGTCCAACCCCTGTATACTTAACATTAATTAGTATTATTGTGTTACATTACTTGGTTATATTGCACAAATTTTTAATACAGATATCTGAGCAAAAACTTTTCAAATTTGAGTATTTTCATTCCTGAACATAATTGGGGTTATCTGCCTTGTTATTGGTTCAGTAGATGCTAAGATGCTGCAATGTGTGTTTATAAACTATGTTATGATTTATTTTATAAGAACATTGTATTAACTATTAGAAAGTATGGCCAAGTTTAAAAATTACTTTAAATTACATAAATTACATGAGACAGAGAGGTCTGTCTCATGAACACTTTAAATATTTTGCATATCAAAGGCACAAATCACATTTGAAAAATTTATCAAATATGGTGACTGTCCTAAAAGATTTCATGTAATGTTATATTGAACTTGCAAATGTAAAGGTAAAGTATCTAACTTCAATGTGATTAATTATGCTATTTTAAAGCTAGTTCTATGATTTTTAGTTGTTGTTTAGGCTAAATCACCTGCTAAAGGATTAATGAATATTCACTCTAGCACTGAAACTCATCATTTTTTTTTTTCAGTGTCCCCAGGTGCAGAAGTTGCCTTGCTTATACCTGGTGGACTCTATCATCAAAAATGTTAAAGAAGACTACATCAAACTCTTCCAGCTGAAAGTGCATCATCTTTTTGCTCACATTTTTGAAAAAGTGAGTGTTTTCTATAATTTTAATGTTTACAGTTGGTCATCAGTCTAGTAACAATGTTATCTATTGCTACATAATTGAGTTGGATTTTAGGGATTGTATCCTATCATTGTTCGTCTTATAAGAGTATTCACAAGGAATACCTGTGTCACACTACTCAGAAGTTGAGGGACTTGGTAAGACATTATTAATAATGTAAACTGGCTTACCCTTTGACATTTTTGTTCATGACAATGGAAAGCCATTGAGATATACTTCATCATTCACTATATCATCATAAATAATGACTCTGCAGTAATAGTGTTAAAATGAGTTTTAATTTTTCTTCTTTTTAGAAACTCCTCTAATTGTTGGCATTGAAAACTGCCATAGGTACCTAGTGTCCAGAAGGATCAGTAAAGCAAATATCTGAATGTAAAGTACGCTGTTGTCATTGATGATTATTATGATCTGTGGCCACGATTGTTTGTATATTTAATGGTATCTCATTCTACAAGGTGGATGAAAGAACTCGTCGCAAGATGTATGAACTGCGCCAGACTTGGAATGATATATTCCGCAAGTCTACTCTCTATGGATTAGATGTGAAGGTCCAGGCCCTGGACCCGGCATGGCCAGTCACTGCTCCCACTCCTTCAGCTTCAGTCCCTAGTCAATCTTCTCGTGCTAAACCAAGCACTATTTTTGTGAACCCTACCCTTCTTAAGGTGGGCTGCTTGCAATACAAATTTTCTAAACAGTGCATTCAAATTTTGCTAGTTTTAATTTAATTAATGCTTGTTTGTAAAGCACTTTTGAAAGTTTGATTAACCTTAGCACTTAGCACTTTGCAAAATTGTATTTATTTTTGTGAGAAGAATATTTAAAGTTCATTATTTTTACAGAGCCGGGGCTTGTCTGCCTCAGGAGCTGAGGTTGGTGCGCTCCCAAAGGAGCTGGACATGGAATTGAAGAAAAAGCTTGCCCTGGAAAAAAAACAGGTTTGTGAAGTGATTGCCCATTGCATTCCTTTGATCAATTTGAATTATGTAGGTATTCTCTTCGACACCATAATTTCTAAGCTTGTATCTTTGTCAAAAATTTTTTACCTCACTTTCGAGTGTTATGAATTTTTTCAGAAAAATTTCAAAATTTGAGTATTTCAAGCAAACCATTCTTTTTCTAATCCCAGTAACATGAATTATTTATAGGTATATTTTATCTTAATTGAAAAATTGCAACATTTCTTCAGAATGGGAATATGTAAATTTTTCATCAAGAAGTTAACATTCAATTAACGGATGAATGGAAAATGAGTAAATTTGTTGCACTTTTACTACCTCATCAATCTTTTGATCATATTTACATTAAAAGTGTTTTCATTTTTTCAGGCTATGGCAACTGTAGAGAAGCCTGCTGAGAAGCAGAGCTCTGGCATCAGCAGCAGCAGCAGCAGCAGCTTATCTAAGCCAACTGCCTGGCCAAGTGAAGCTTCTGAAGCGTTTCCTCCTGCTGTTCCTGATACGGCTAAAGCTTCTGTTCGTATAGACCGGAAGGTAGTATTGTAGCTGCAGTTTGTATGGACCAGAATGTGGTAGTGAACCTTCTACATTATTATTCGAGAAGGGAATTGCAATTCAGGAACTAAGCTTTAAAAATATAAACATGTATATATTTTCATAAAATATAAATGGTAACATGTGTTGCCATTTATATTTTCATAAAATATAAATGGCAACATGTGTTGCCATTTATAAGAGTGCAAACTCAACAGTTAGTTGACAAGCTCATGTTAATTACAAACCACAATAGCGCAACTGACTTTATTGTCCTAACTTTGAGCGGCGTTAGCATCAATTGTTTAATTTTAAATATGGCTTTTTCCCTTAATCTACCACTGTAGTAAGGCCCTCACTGGGCTTCTAGCTCAGTCTTCCCCATTTTTTCCCTAATGCTTATTTTGCATCATTCTAGCCCACTGGCAGCAGCAGCAGTAGCGGTAGTAGCTCCCGCAGTACGGACAAAAGCTCCAGCCGTGAGCATTGGCTCAAAAGTTACAAAATTAAAAAGAAATCAACCGACTCCGATGCATCTAGCTCCTCACAAAAGCCTTCTTCTAGCTCCCAAAAGGTGAATTAAAAGATTATAGTTCTATTCATTTCGAGAATATCAGTTAATGGGCCCTGTTGCGGTATACATGAAGTTTATGAAAGACCTTCCATAAGTACTATTTAAATCAATTTATATTTTTATATTTGTGATTATTATAATTCAATTTTTGGGCATTAATTAATCCAGTTACCTGATTTATCTCCGGTGATCATTTGCTAATCAAGATTATATCAAAAATATATTAATGTTGTTACAAGGTTAGCTCACCCTTAGCATCATTGCTTATAGTTTTTTCCTCGTGCTTGTTTCAATGTTTGTCTCTGCAGCCGAGCCAGTCTCCCCTAGCGACTCTCCCTGAGCCTCGGCGCCCCCCGCAAGCCACACCGCCAGTCAAGCCTCAGCGAGTCCCCACCCCGACCTTAGCTCCCCACGCCTCACCCGCAACTACCGCCGAGAAACATGCTCCATCTCGCGACCCCCGAGCCCAATCTCATGACCCCAGAGCCTCATCTCAAGACCCTCGAGCCTCATCTCAAGACAGTCGAGCCTCATCTCAAGTCCCTCGAGCCTCATCTCAAGACTCTCGAGCCTCATCTCAAGATTCTCGAGCCTCATCTCAAGACCCTCGAGCCTCTCCCCACGCCTCACCCGCAACTACCGCCGAGAAACATGCTCCATCTCGCGACCCCCGAGCCCAATCTCATGACCCTCGAGCCTCATCTCAAGACCCTCGAGCCTCATCTCAAGACCCTCGAGCCTCATCACATTGCGCTATTCCTGCAGCCACCAGCAGTCGAGACCCTCGTTTGGGGACTGCCCGGCCTGTGGAGCGTCCCTCTAGCATGCACGCCATTCATCCGCTCAAGTCGGCGACTGCCAGATCTTCTAATTCATCCAGAGACCCTCGCGTTGTAGGCAAAAGCCGCAATATTTCCTCGCGGTCTCTCTCTAAAGAAATTGCTGAAGAAGCTAATCAGCTTTTCAAACCTGATGTCCTCACTAAGGTTCCCACGAAAATAAAAATCGATCTGAAAGTTTTTGATGCTAGTAAAAGTAAGCCTCAGGTGCCGGTGACTTCGAACAGAGACCCTCGAATAATGTCCCGGGATCCTCGTCTAGCACCCAAAGACGAGATCAAGCCGTCGGAGGTCGCTACCCTTCCACCCAGTAGCTCTGTTCCAGCGTCGTCTAGCACTTCAGAGGCGCCATCTAAAAAAGAGCCCAGTGCTTCTGCTACTAAGGATACTTCAAAAATGCGGGATAAGTCAAATGACCGTAGGGAAGAAATTCAGCGTGAGCTGAAGAAAGTTGACAGGAAAGAAAAACAACGTGTTGAAAACCGCTCTTCTTCTCCTCGTTCATCTAATAAAGTGGAACGAAGTCAGTCTCCGACGAAGCACCGTGAATCAAGTGCGCACAGAAGTAAAGATGGACGATCTAGTTCCAAGTCCAGTACCCACGAACAAAAGAAACGAGACTCCCCTAATGTAGGATCATTGATTAAATCAAACTCATTTGTTGATACCAATGACTCCAAAACAGGACCTCCTAAGGACTCTCAAAAAACTTCTGCATTGAAAACATCCAGTACACACGTCACGCCGGCCGAGGCGTCGAATGTCTCTGTTCAGTCCGACGCAGGGTCCTCCAAGTCAGAGGACCTCAAGGCAAGTATCACCACCACCACCACCTCTGGTCCGGGACCAAATGAGGAGTCTAAACCAGCGTTGTCCACTGATAATAAAGCAATTCCTGATGAACCATCTACCACCTCAAGCGCTAAAGACTCTTTCCGCAACGTTGACCGTTCCTTGTCGCGTCACCGGCAGCATCTCAGGAAACGCGCTACTCCCAGTCCCGAACCCATGGAAATCTCTCCACCTCCTGAAATTTTTTCAAAAGAAAACCAAGAGAAAAAGAAGGAAAATCCTGAAGATGGGACTGACTCTGACGAGAGTGACCACTATGAAGCCAACAAACCAAACCCGCTGATTTACATGGATAAAAAAGGTAATTGTATTGTGCTTTTAATCAGTTTAATCTTAGTGTATTAGAGTTCGTGCAAACATCGAGTAGAATCATTTTGAATTAATTTAGAAGTTTTATTATAGTTTCGAATATGCATCTTTAAATCTATAAAACTTTCATGGGCCAATACATTGTACCTTGTTCCCTTTTGGTATTGAATTATTATTATTAATGTTATCGTCGAAATAGATGGGAATTTCATAGTTGTGCATCACATTACATTTTTATGCTCTGCCTCTTTTGTTCCCAGCTTGTTGGAAGCACAAAGATGTTCCAGTAATGACCCACTGCGATGAATTAAATGAATTGTAATGGCAAATTATTTTTTCTCAGGTGACGTCGACTTGAGGCTGATGGGCGCGTGTGCTCCTGGTAAAAGCTTGCCTCCCGCTGACACGTCAGCGGCTGGCCCTGAACCCGACGACGAGTAAGTTTCATTCCAGATGCGCCAATTTGCAGTATTTTGATCTGTATTTTCTGCAGTACAGCTTTGAGTTGCTTAATTTTTCAGCAATATAATGAACAAGCACCAGAGAGTGTGCACGTTTCCTGCAGTCCAATAACACTGAGATGGTGATAAATTTTTTCTGCCATGTCATGAATAACTATCAGAGTGCAAATTGCGTCTGTTGAGTTTTTGTTCCACAGATAATGTGAACACTATTTATACGTGTGTTGCATTCAATTCTTGTAAGATTGACGTTATTTATTAATTTTGTGTTTTTAAATTCAGTTGTATAAAGCTTGCACTGTATAAATAATATTTTTATATGCTTGACATACCTAATAAATTTTTCGCCTCCACGTTGATAACTGTTATTTTTTTTATGGTCAGTTTGTTCGGCTCAACGGACGTGGACTTGCGGACGCAGGTGCTGCCCGCGGCCTTCCAAGAGGGCGCCGCAGTCACTGCTGGTGGGCTGTCCGTCGCCAGGGAGGACCAGGACCTTCGTAAGCCAGGGCCTGCCGTCGTAAAGCCGGTGTGTATACAATCATTCAGCCCTCCTTCATCTACTAACAGATGCTGTACTTATTTATACAGCCCTCCTTCATCAACTAACAGATGCTTCACTTATTCATTCAGCCCTCCATCACTAAAAAACAGATGCTTCACTTATTCATTCAGCCCTCCATCACTAAAAAACAGATGCCTGAAATAAGTGACTGCTACATCTTCCATCATAACGTATAGATGTAGCGCCGACAAACTGATGCTCCTGTCATGAATGGTTATTTTTTTTGTGTTGATTGGTATCCTGTAGCTACTCTTTGCATGAATTTACATCATTATTCATACATTAAATTTAGTGAAGGTTTACTCGGAGTCTCAGTTCCTTTACCCGACTGTGGTCTGTTGAAATAAATGAGCCTTGTTCACAGGATCTACCAGTAAACGATGTTACAAAAGAAGCTCCTGATGACCCAGAAATTCTCATCGTGGAGCACAAGACACATCCTTCAAACTGGGCCAAGTTCAGAGAAAAGAACCCAGAATTCAAGCAATTCCAGCGCTCGTGCAGCACTCCTTCTCTCCCTGACACAAGTGTTCCAGCCATGCAGCACAGCCTCTCCAGAGGTGAGTCTTGTCTGCAGCACAGCCTCTCCAGAGGTGAGACTTGTCTGTACCATAGCCTATCCAGAGGTAAGCCTTGTCTGTACCATAGCCTCTCCAGAGGTGAGTCTTGTCTGCACTACTGCTTCTCCAGAGGTAAGCCTTGTCTGCACTACTGCCTCTCCAGAGGTGAGCCTTGTCTGCACTACTGCTTCTCCAGAGGTAAGCCTTGTCTGCACTACTGCTTCTCCAGAGGTGAGACTTGTCTGCACTACTGCCTCTCCAGAGGTGAGACTTGTCTGCACTACTGCTTCTCCAGAGGTGGGTCTTGTCTCCACTGTAGCAAACTATCACCATGACTAAACTATGACGTACGTTATTGAATGACATTTGTATAACAACGTCGCCTAAGCATCAACTTAGGTATTTAATCTAATAAATTGAACTTGATTAATAATTAATCCACCATTCAGTGTTCGGCAAGGAGCTTTCCCATTTACCAGTGGAATCCTTTGTGATGAATTGTGGTCATGAATTTTTCATGACTCGCCTATTATTTATATTTTATTTGTTTAAACTATATTCATGTAACTAACACTGGAACTCTGCTAGGAAATATACATCTTAGGATGTATAATTAAGAAGTATACATCTGGTTAGGAAATTTTCATCAGGAAATTTAGGAAATTTCCATCAAATATACATCGGGTTAGGAAATATATTTTCGAACCTCTGTTAGGAAATATACATGTGGTTATTATTTCCTAATATTCATGTAACTAACGCTGGTTACTCTGTGTTTTTTGGCCTCTATCAGCGCGCGCGATCAAGAAAAGTCTTTTTGGAGATGACGACGGACAACTTCTCTCCAACGAGGCCATGCTGGCTGATTCAGCCGGACTCAAGGTTAGTAATATTCTTCAATGTCATTGTGCCTGGCATTCAAACGTAGTAAGATAATACTAACCGAGCTCTAGAGAAAATTAGTTTTTTTATTTTAAAAACAGAGCTCAATCAATTGAGTTTTAACGGGCGAATGAATGCATGAGACAGTAGAACTAAGATGACGAGGAGTGTCACCGACAGTGGGAAATAGCCTGGCATGATGCAAGCCGTAGAATAAGTGATTAGGAATTAGGTAAGTGATTTTGAACTTGTTTAGGCAATCAGATAACTTTGTAACAAGCCCGAAGCTGTTCAGGTCGCTACCGGCTTGCTCACTACTGACAAACCAAATCGCTAGAGGTATGTGGCATTAGCATCATAAATAAATTCTAGATCAGAATGCCGAAACTACCTGTACGCATCAATCAGTAACTACTAATAACGTCACAAAGCAAGGATACAATGGAGATTAAATGTTCACAGAGCCACAGAAATTGATAAAGTTTATTGCTGCTAACAAATGATCCAACGAATCTGACGGAAAATATTGAGACCAACGCTCGCCATGGGAGATGCCCTATTAGCCCGAACATTTATCTGACGGCTTTTCTCCGCGAAATCGGAGGACAATTTCACGAAGATTCGACTTTGAAAATTAATTTCATCTGCTATCTCTATATTTGCTAGAGAAAAGGACTTTCACCTTGCTTCCCACAGTATTGACATTTATGAGTTTCATATTATATATAGATTCTATCAGTATTAGAACTTTTATAAACACCTCATTTCCTTCTATTCAAGTAAAATTACGTAGAATCGAACCAGCTGACAATGATCAATATTAATTAGGTGTGAAGCACGTTCATGTGTGATGTGCTCGGTATTTTAATGTGGTTGTGTTCACAGGTGATCATCACCCAAGCAGAAGAGCAGCTACGCCTGGGCCAGATCAGCATCGCTGCGTACAACAACACGCTGCAGCAGGTGCTTGCTGTCTATGAGAGGGACAAGATGCGGCGCGCTCAGGCCCGAGACAGGAGCTGCAGCCCTGCCCCCATCAGAGACCATCAAGCCGTGTCCCCTCACATCAGATCACCTGCAGAGAAATCGAATCTCCTGCCACCCCCACCTCTGCCTCCTCAACTGCGGGGACCTCTTGACAAGGGAAGAAGTCCTTTGCCTCCGCCTCCCAGACCTGGTCAGTACAGTTGAAGCCCTCTTTAGAATATTTGTTTTTTGTTCTGCTTTGATTTCTTTATGTTCTACGCGTGGGAAAAGGGTGATATACAAGATATGCAATTGAAATACTAAAAAAATACACACTGCTCAACAAATTTTCATCGTATTGATGCTTGAAAATTTTCATCAGGTGAACTGTCGTCTTATATGCACCTGTGCATGTGTCTTGAAATGAAATGCCATGGCATCTTTCAAATTCTTCTAGTCACAGTGTGTGTTGTTCTTGCAGACTTAGATCGTGGAAGTTATCACCGCGACTTACCCCCGGTTGATGGCAGCTTCAGGCCTGACTATTATGCCCACGATGAATGGACTGGAGAGCCGGACTTGCCTGTTGTGCCTGAAGAAGTTTTACGGCAGGTTACCAGAGAGTCGGAAACTCGCAAGATTGATATTGACGGATATTCTCGCGATATCCGCACGTACGGCGAGACCGCCATCCTCCTCATGGATGCCTTCGACCCGAGGACCGTCGCGTTTGAGGAGGGCCACTGCAACATCGTATTCGATGGCGGCGAATTCGTCATTCCCATGAATACTAATGACGATTATAAAGAATTTACAATTGAGGGTGAGACTCATCGCGTCAAATTGGGCGTACCGACGGCAGAACTTTTCCTCGACGGCCGAGGTTATCAGTGCTTCTTTGGAGGCAAACCCATTACCATCCACCTTGCTGGCCGCGTCCGCACTATCCGCTTGGATGGCAGACCTCCCAGCGTTACAATTGGGAAAGAAACCAATCGAGATTTCCTTCTTGGCAAAATCTCGCTTGTGGTTAATGCTAACACGAAACGCATGATGCCTGTGTACTTGGACGCAAAGCCTCAACGAATCACTATTGACGGAAAAATTCACGTGTTGAAGTTTGTAAATAAATTTTTAACCGTCAATATCAACACAGTGAATTTCCCCGTCTCTTATGGCGGGCTACCCACAAGTGTTAGTGTGCGCCAGATTCGCAAGTACCTGAGCTTCTCTGCCTTGCCTCCCGATATCATACCTGGCGAGACAACCGTCATCGGTATGGACTGTGACGTGCTCATTCCCAATTACCCTGCCCTCACGCGGTCACTTTATCAAACGACAGGTCGTCTCGCAAATAAGTACAACAAAGGTGCTTTACAACCACCACCAACACCTCCATCAAGCCTTGCTGCATTCTCTAAACTTCCCTCGACTCCTCAACCTCCATTCCCCGTCGCACCTGAAGTCCCCGTGACTAAAACCTCCATACCTATGTCAGCACCCCCACCATTCCCCACGCTTTCGCCGAGCCCCAAAGGAGCTGCGACTGAAGCAAAAACATCCGCAGTCGTCCCTGGCGCTTACATCACCAACGAAGGACCTTCCCAATCGCCGCCTCCGCGTTCAGTCACCCCTAGAGCCGTGACACCCTCGCCAGCACCCTCTTCAGGCTTGCCTTCTCTAGATGTGTCTTCTCTGCTGCAGACGCTCATCAAAGTCGGTATCATCGGTAAGCCCAACGCCACTGAACCTCCTAAAGACGCTTCATCCGACGCAAAAGAAAGCTCCGTCACTAGTGTGAGCAAGGCCACCCAAGACAGCTCCGTTACTGAAGTTAGCTCTGCTAAGGAAACTAGTATAACTCCAAGCATTCAAGTAAAGAAGATGGAAGACCTTAAGGCCAAGCCAAAGAAACCTGTTGCCATCGATGTTAACGATGAAGATTGGCTGGAGCCTGAAGAAGGAGCAGAGCCAAAACCTAGTAGTGTCGCTAAGATGGATTCCCTGTTCAAATCACAACAATTAAGAAGGTAATACACGCACTAAATTTAAATTTTAGATTTCTTTAGTGATAATTTCTTATTAATACTTCACTAACTTACTGATTTAGAAACATTCCTTCAATTCTAGAATTGACCAGTGTTCACACTTTGAACTCTTATTCATTTGAATTTGCGTGAACATTTTCGAATTCTGAAATAATTCCCAATCAGTCGTCGTAACAGCCATTAATCCTGCTATGTCATGTGATGTTTATGTTAAAATGAAATATTGTTTGTGCAGGCGCAGCAGCCCCCTAGTGGCATATTTGTACCGTGGCATGCAATGTTCGTCATGCGGCATGCGGTACCCCGCTGAGCAGACGGTGCATTATTCGCAGCATCTAGACTGGCACTTCAGGCAAAACAAGCGTGAGCAAGAGAGCACCAAGAAGGCCAATACCAGGAAAATGTACATTCCACTGGACGACTGGATGCAATATGAGGAAATCGAAGACGTCGATGAAAGAGGCAAGCTACTTTGTTCATTTCCGTTGAATTATATTTTAATTATTTGTCATGTATGCGCACGATTGCCCCATCATAAGTGTGAACAAATTCCTACTTTGTTTAATTAGGCCAGTTCAGGCTCATTCTCTATGCTGATTAATAAATATAAGATAAATATTACATCTGCTAAATTTGTACTAATGTTACACAAATTTGTATATATGATTAAATTTCAATGATTTCCTCGCTTGCTGTGTAAATTTTTAATTGTTCTACTACTAATGTATTGCTGTTTGTATCAACGTTATAGTCAACACTGCCTTTTATGAATTGAAAACATTACAGTTGCTTCCCAAAATATTAGCCAAACCTTTGAAATTAATTTCTTCGTTTACATTGCAGTGCCTAGTATGTTCGAGAATGAGAGTGGCGCTGGTGGTGCAGGATTGCTACGCGACACTTCGAGGGACGAGGACGAGGAAACTGAAGCCAGTGTGCCAGTGGACAGTGAAGAGCCTGGTCTGGGTGTGTGCCCTGTGTGCCGCGACACCTTCAGTCAGTTCTTCCAGCACCACACGGACGAGTGGCACTACAGGAACGCCGTCGCCAGGGACGGTGCCAACTACCATCCCAGCTGCTATCAGGACCTCGTCAAGGTGACATATGAGGAACTCTTCACTAAGTTAAACTGCTTTCATTCCGCATATAAAATTGCTTGAACTCTTCTTACTATTTTGATTTTACCATTGCATCATTTTTCGTGGCTCGTATTCTTCTCAGGTTCTTTTTCGTGTTTTGAATTCTACTCGGGTTTAGTGTTTACATTATTGCAAGGAATAACTCAACGGCAGTTTTCATGTTTTATCCTGTTTCTTGAGAGTTCTTCTAGTAGGAATTGTCCTTGCTCGACTTCTATACACTGAGATTGATGTTGTCAAATTCAGAAAAATTTCAAGAAGCAATAATACTTCATATTTCACGTAAATGCAAATCGATTTTACCCGCCAATTAGGCTGTATCCATTAATGTTCACCAGGAACTTTTATTCTATATTAGTAGAAAATTAAGTTTTCTTACCGAATTTGAAGGTCATCACTGCAATCCTAGAATTTAGACTCAAACAAAATTCTTCGATGTTAAAATCTAAGATAATTACTATATTCTGATTCTGAGACTTTTACCATAGAGTCCGTTTTTGTCAGTGATTATAGTCTGTTAATCGCCAATTTCATGAAAAATCGCTGTTCATTAAATGCGCTTTTGGTATATTTTGGTTACTGGAACTTCATGTTATGTGCTAATAATTAAGAATACCTTATATATCTTAGTTTGAGGTGATCACCTGGCTGCTGGGGCTTAACTAATGTCATATCAACCACTACAATATGCTAGTGATGATTTTTTTGCTTAGTAAAGCTCAAGCGAATTCATATAATAATTTTTTCGTTTTCATGTCTGTTCTAGGATACGGTAAGTGGATTGTCGTTGAACTTTGCAAACTCAAATTTGTCCTTTACTTTATTTCTAATGATTTGGACGTGTCAGAGTTAGTCTATGGGTTTTGTATATCAAGACTGCTGAAGGCTGAGCATTTTTGTTCAACGATTTGGAATTTTGATTATTTCATATTTGTGAATTTAAATGGATTGTTTTATGCGACGTTATATGTTAGTTTTCAAGAATTTGTATCCAACTTAAACTTATATAATTATCCATGAACGCGTTTTGTGAGCAGCAAAAAGAGAGGGAAGAAAATGCAAAAAGGGCGAAGGAAGAGGCCGAGGAAAAGGAAAGACTTGAAGCCCAACAAAAGCAAGAGAACGAGATGAAGGACGTTAAAGACGACGATAAGGAGGTTGTTGTGCCGGCAGATGTTTCAGCTCAAGAAGAAGTTTCTTCTAACTCTGAACCTGTTACTACTACTGCTGCTGCTGCTGCTGCTGCTGCTGACCTGATTGGCACCTCGGCTGGCTCAGGAGATGGAATAGTTTCTGCTGCAGTCGCTGCGTCATCGGCTGCACCTGAGGCTGATCCTGCAAAAACTGACTTGGATCCGACAAAGACTGTCACTGATCCTGCTGCGAATGTTCCTGCTCCTGTATCACTTAGCACTGATCCTACAGTGGCTGCTCCTGATCTCCCAGCACCTAAGGATCCTGCAGAGCCTGCCATTGATTCGCCTGTCCCTGATCCTGCAATGCCTCCTACCGACTCCACGACGTCTCCTGCTGATTGTGTCGCCGCCAGCACCCCGGCATCAGCTGACGCGGTAGCGGCGCCTGCCACTCCTGCAGACGCTGAGGGCGACTCATTGCAATCTGCAAATTCTTCGGCACAGCCAAAGAAGAAGAAGAAGAAAAAGAAGAAGAAGCCTGTTGTTCGTAAGTGGATCCTTTTAATAAGAGTATACTAGGCCGAAGTTATTTCTGTTAGCCACTATTTTAGTGTTGTAGAATTTGTGATTCTAATTGAATTTTGATTGCAAAAATTCTCGATCTACCTTAGCTCGAGGCACATACTGTATCTCAGCTTCAGTGTAGTTGCCTCATTGATATGCATTTATTTGTCGTTTGTAAATGTCTGTTGAGGTTTCTAGTTTTAATGACCGACCAAATATTGTTTTATTTTAAAATTATATTGAATAAATTTCAGAAATGCACGTGCCGGCCGTCCGCATCAAAGAAGAACCGTTGGACGCCATAGAAATCACGCAGTCGGGATCTTTTGTGGTATGTTACTGAATCACTTGAATCTATCTGCACGTACACATTAACCAGAATTCAAATATGTAGTGAGTTATTCTTGCCACAAAGGTTTATTTATTTTTGTTAGTAATAATGATTAATATTATTAAAATTGTACAACGTGCATTCATTTGCCAACTCACGACCTCCTCACCTTTTTGCTTGCCTTATTTATAGATGTATTTTTAGCGTATTGACTACAGAGCTTGTGATGATTTGCAGGACGGTGTCTTCGTGAAGCAAGAGAAGCCCGACGAGCCTGAGATCGAGGAGCATCCTCTGGATGAAGGAATCGAGGTGATGGACCAGGTACAGTTGACCGTCGTTTCTGCGTACAATTCCTCTATTTACTCGCCATGACTCTGGGAAATGTTCTTTGTTGATCTTTTCACCTAATTTTCTCTAATTTAATCATTTTTCAGTGATATTTCATCTGTTTTTTTACTCATTTTTTTCTTATCTGTCGCTATTTATTCTAGAAAATGCATATGGTATTTATTAGTTTGGCTGTAGTGGTTGTGCCGGCACCACCACTACGACTAACTGCCAATATGTTTAATTCCAATAAAAAATTATTTGTCTTTTTCCCTTTATGTAATATCATTATGGATATAAATCTGACTATTTTACAAATTTCGCCGTCGAGCAGATAGCTATTATTCACCTGGATGTTTTATTTCACTTCAGAGTGCGGCAGAGGACGAGGCGAGCATGATCCTCGACACTACAGGGGACATGTCAGCGTCCCGTAGCACACTTCTCACGTCCACCATAGACGGCAACGTCGAAGAGAACGAAGCTCCTGACACCAACCCTGCGACGGCGCCCCTACCTCGCATCAGGCTCAGTGGCGCCCTGGGAGGGCTGCTTGCCAAGGCCACCAACAAAGACATCCCTGCCGACTCTGCTGAAAAATCCGCTATCACCGTCATAGGGGATGACAGCAATCTTGCCACTGATGGCACATCTTCCCCTACTTCCCAAGAGAAAACGAATGACGGAAAAGATAGCAGCACAAATGCAAATGAGAACGGCGTTGCGGAGGATGAAGGCTAGTAACAATTAGCTAACTTAACTATTTTTTAAATCATTGACAGCGCTAAGTGGCGTGAATTTCTTCCAGTCCCGAGTTGTGTGTGTTCAGTTTTAAAATCCTAGTTATAGATTTCATGAACATTTTTCTAAACTTCCGATATATTTTTGTTGACTAATTACTAGTCTTGATACATCTTGAACTTACATGACCACATTCCATACTCTTGTTCTACACTTATATGAATTGATAAGAAACGTCTATTCGATTCGGTCATGAAATCTCATTAAAAATATCAGGGCTCTGATTATTATAAGAGATTGATTTATTTAAAATTAAAAGACGTTAATTTTGTTTCAGGTGTTGAAGGCGTCGATTCAGATGATGACATCATCGAGTGGGACGAATTTATCCCGCCGCCCTTCACGCCGGACCTGAAGTTGCATCCGCGCTTCGAAAACGCGCAGCTTGACGACCAGGGCATCAGACGCGCTGGGCTTGAAATGTCAGGTCTTTGTTCTGTTATGTGAAGACTGTGAGATGAAGAGCCTCGAAAGCTGCGATTCAGTGTACAAATTATTCGAGTACATCGTTGTAACTGTAGTCCTCGGAGAATCGGTTGAAATAATCGATTTTAGCTTATCATTAAAGCTTTTGGTTTGGTGTAATATTGAAATAATTGTAATAATGTTGTAAAATATAGGCGAGTATATAAACATTCATCTACTACTCCGAACCATTTGAGCATCTTTCTTCTTTACCGCTGATCTTAATCATCCAGTAATTTAACTTGATGATCTTACTTTGTCTAAACAAATTGGTGTTTCTTCATTTTTGACTAATTTCATTTATCAAAGTAGAAGTAACACCAGAATTAATTTCAGTATTATAGCGTGGGAAGATGTTGCCTAATTTTAATTCTAGAAGTTGTGACCGGCCACCAGCTTATTTTATTGTTATTTTACATCTGCGACATTTGCTCACAACTAAAGACATATTTTCTTACGTTGGTTCGTTTCATTGCCCTACTGCACTTGATTTAGAAGCAAGTTGGCCCTCAAGCGGCGGACTGCTACCAGAAACCAGACCTCCATTGTTTTGTTTCACCATCAGAAGTCGCTCTGAAAAACCAGCAATCATTCCTGTTCCTAATATGTACATATTTTCCTGTATTGAGTGATCAATAAAGTACTCGCCTTCTGAGCGTTTTTACTAACCTATTAGTATCTGTAAGAAATTGGTTCATTCCGTATGGGGTGAAGGCCGTTCAATGGTCTTCTCGTTAGTGGAAGCTCGGTAACTTTGGAACTAAAGCAATTTGGTTTATTTGTAATTAAATTCTTAAAATTCACCATATTTTTTTAAACTTCCACTAACGATGTGAAGGCCTGCAAACCGGCTTTCGCTTGGGGAAGTTCGTGGCGTTTCCCCCGGTCCTGAGTCGCCTCCTTAATATTTCCAACGTATATCAATATATTTACTAATATATCAAGACTCAAACGTAGGAATTAGTTTGATATTGTTGTTTATTCTATTCTTTGCCCAGATTTGGAGACCCCAAGGTTCAATTGCCTAATCTTCATTAATCGGAGTAAAATTTCATGCCAGGTAAATGTTCACGCTAGTTGATTCAAGTGATGCGGTCGGAGCGCCAATTTGCTAGTGACGATCAGCTTTGATCAATTGCGACGGTTAAACTGGGGCTATCCGCGCGATATAAATTTTTTTTTAAATCTCCTCTAAACTCATTTCGTATAATTTTCTGCCTGTCATACTGCCAAGAGCTGCTAGGAATCAGCTTCGCCTGTCGATAGAAGCTAACTTTTGGCGAGGTAACTTGCGTGCCGTTGAAATGCAACATACAGTACATGGTTTGTTGAGCCACCGATTTCTTTTTTGATGAGATAGTGACTCGCTGCGAAAGATTTCCTATAAGATCTCATAAACAGCATATCACTGTAATCGACTTTATTAGTACAGTACAAGACAATTATCCAAGATGTCACTTTTTGTGAGCACCGTATTATGAATGAGTCTGTTTTACTGTTTTTAATGCTATTTTTCCTCGTTTGAGTGCAAAGTTTGTAATTTTGGCTGGATTAATATAAAATTACATTGCTATTTTCTTAAATTGATTTAATTACTTTGATATTTTCTTAAATTGATTAAATTACTTTGGTATTTTCTTAAATTGATTAAATTACATTGATATTTTCTCATATAAATTAGGTTTCATTGCTTATATTATTTGCATTGCTCGTTTAAATTACATTAAGTCTATTTAGTAGCACAAAAAATAGTGTTCTTAGCGACATATTATAATTAGTGTTGCGAGCATGAGACGCACGTACTGATATGGCAGCCCCAACCGTCCCTCCCAGAGGTACGAAAATGCAGACTAAATACGTTGCTAATCTCCCAGGATATATGCTTAAATATTAAGATCAGATATATTAATCTTGCTTCTCCTTAGAACTGTTCATGGTTCGGCTCCTTGTCTGAATGTCGATAGTTGAAGAAATTTGAAACATCGAACTGATTTATTTTTTCAAGGGTGCTTTCATTTCTCACCGGTTTACAATGCCAGCTGATAAGGAGAAATTATTTATTTCTGGTACCATACGCGTCTACGATCTTGAAATAACACATTCATTCAAATATTATTTGCTGTTTTAGTAAACTCGACACTTTTTATTCTTCGATGCTTGGGCCGTTCATCTTGTACTTCAACCACTGCGAAAAATGAGTTTTTTATCCACGCAGCTTTTCTTGGACGAATAACTTTAATTTGAACAGCGATTTTAGAAAACTTCGAATAAATTTTAGGTCTGAAATATATTTTCAATTGATCCGTAAATGAGAAATATTTGGTATTGCTAACTTGGTAAATTTCAGACAGCGTGACCAGTAGCAGCACCAGCAACCCTCAGCGCAAGATCTTAGAGGACCTGCAGTTCAAGAAGCAGATGTTCTTGAAGCAGGGCGCGTCGCAGGCCCTCGCTCCCGCCACCACTGTCCACCAGAGCACGGTTAGGGCGTGAGCCTACCACTTACTCTTAAATTATTTATTGGGGTATATATAGGAATTATTCAGGCAGGACTTTTCAATGAGGAATCGATAGGGATTATTCATGAATTACATTTCGTGGAAGAATCGAGAGGAATTATTCAGGGATGACGTTTCACGGAGGACTCGATATGAATTATTAATGGAAGACTCGATAAAATACGATAATGGATAGTATAACTCTTGTAATCAGTCTGTTGTCGATGTCAATTTAATACTAAATCCAAAGTCCAAGTCTTCTATATTTCTTATTCGATTGAGCACATTTGCTTTAAGACTTTATTCTCAACTAAATAATCTGCTATGCTCATGCACTATAATTTATCCATACTATTGATGGGTTTTAATTGGAGTTATCTCTTATTTGTTAAATCAAAATTTAAAGCAATGAATGAAATTGTCTGTAACTGGCACAGCATTTGTACTCGTCTCAGCGTGTTCTATTGAGGGCACTGATGATCCATGTATAGTTGGTGTGTTTTCTTCGACGAGTTTAAAAATGATGACACACGACTTTCCTGGAACGTGTACAAAATTACTCATTACATTATCGCAGGATAGCGTTTTGTGAACAGAGGCCGTACAATCAAAACTCGCTCAAGTCCACGTGGGACACGTGGCGCTCTAAGTACTCGTAACGGCCGATTTCTTATCTGATACTAGTAGGTTTAACTTGAAAAGCTGTCAGTGATCATAGTTACGAACTCGTAACTATTTCTGAGAATACGGCAACTCAGGGCTGGCAGTCCGGCACCGACGGCCACTTGGCCGGCACGGCGACCAGCCAACGCCCCACGCTGCTGAGCGCGACCACGCACAGCTTCGGTTACTTCATTCCTACGGACTCCTCCTTCGGCAACTTCATCCTTCCTGTCCTGCCGAGACTTGATCCTACCCCACCCGCCAAGCCGGTGAGTTGACATGAGGTGCCGTGTACCAGTTGACATGAGGTGCCGTGTACCAGTTGACATGAGGTGCCGTGTACCAGTTGACAAGGAGGTACCGTGCGCGCTAGAAAAATATTCTGAATTCTTCACAATCCCAATTTTTAACCTACTTATCTTGCTGGTTGACCTGTAAATCGCTCCTTATTCAATTCCTGAACTATTTCTATGTACTATATACCTGAATTATAGTTAGGCTAATTTATCATTAGACTTTTAATGAGTGTTTCTACACTGGATTGGGATGGCAATTTACATTGATATTGGAAACGTTTCTTCTTACGGCGTTCGTGTCGTTGTTTGGATCAGGTGCAATGAAGCTGAGGCAGTTGGAGGCGCACCTGCAAGAAGTGCAGGGCTTCCAGGAGCCGAAGGTGGCTCTGGAGCAGTACGTGACTCCGGCTCATATTGCTGCTCATCTCCTGCATGCTGCTCACGTGCAGTACGGTGACGTCGAGCGCAAAACTGTGGCAGACTTGGGCTGTGGCTGCGGCGTACTGGCTCTTGGAGCAGCCATGTTGGGAGCTGCTGCCGTCACTGGGTTAGTTCTTCTTGAATGGCCGCAACCTCGAGCACCTACATTAAGCTTTTACGAAAACTATTTCTCTTTAGTCTGTTCGCATTATAGACTCATTGTCGATGAAGGGCAGGTTTCAATGTCAAACATGTCAGTGAATTGTAGATAATGCTCGGTATTCTACGGGCCAGGTTTACAATGTTGATGGTTTTGCTGCAGTTTTGATATCGACGGTGCGGCTCTGGCGGTGTGTCAGGAGAACCTGAGTGAGTTCGAGCTGCCATGTATCGAGCTCGTCCAGACCGACGTTCTTCAGCTGCTCACCGACGCCGGCACTCGCTGGAGAAATCATTTCGATACGGTCATTCTTAACCCTCCATTCGGTACCAAAAATAATCAAGGAACAGATCTCAAATTTCTTGAAGTGAGTCGGAATCTATCATTATTTTCAATGAGTTTCATATGACTTTTAATTTAATAAGCCATGAAACATTTCGTACTACTTACTCTCAAGCCTAATTACTCATTTGGAATAAGCAATAAATTGAAAATAAATTTCCTGAATCATATAATAAAGTTTGAATAAGTGCATTGACAGACTATTACAATTACGTCATGGACATTTCTTCACTTCACCTAATTTGCTCTCACGTGACCATTAGTATTTATCCTCACTAACCAGAACCTCATGTATTTAACCTCACTTGACCTGGACAGGTAGCGGGCGCTCTGACCCAAGGGGCCGTGTACAGTCTGCACAAAAGCTCTACCAGGAAGCACGTCATCCGCAAGGCCTCTACACTGGGACTCGCTGGGGAGGTCGTCGCGGAACTGCGCTACGATCTCCCCAAGACCTACGCCTTCCACAAGAAAACCTCCGTCGATGTACAAGTTGACTTTATTAGGTTCACTCACAAAAACTCTTGAGGATACATTTCTGCGTCACGTTTTTCATTCAACCTCCTGAACGCTCTCGTTATAATGCCTTCAAATAAAATTAGCAATGATTTTGGGCAATTTATCGTTTGTATACAAAGGGTTCGGACGTGCTATAAATTATATTATTTAGAAATGCATCCATATCTTTGGTTCGAAATTGGTTTGATGGCTAGTATATGAAACGTCTTTTAGGTAATTATGCATTATTTTCTTATTATGTGTCCATGAGTAAAAATCGAATTAATCACCATTTTTCAAATTTGTGTGCTGGATGATTGAGTGGTTTTTACAACTGCTTGCACATATGCTCTGTGCCCGCGTGTGGTATTGGTCAAGAATGTCACTTTTGAAAAATGACCTTCTTTGGCCGGCCCGATCCCCCGATTTGGATTTTTTATGCCGTTATGTAATTTTTTACGGGGTTATCTTAAATTAATTGTTGACAATGACTGTCCAAGGACCCTATTTCATTTGAAGAACAACATACACCAAACCACGAAATTCAGGTAATGTCTTTTCCAATAAAATTTTTATTGTAAAGAAACTAGTTCTTTTTTTTATTGCGCTTTCAAATGAATAAGTTTCCGTGAATCATTCTAGACGACCTTCCACCACTAGAATAAGCTCAAACCGTGTTCACTTCGTTTAAAAACGTTATTTTAATGCTTTGATGTAAAGATAAAAACAATTTTTGAAATCAGGAGCATTGCATTATGCTAGACCCAGAATGTAGCCCTGTCAATCTGAATGAGAAATGATCAAAAGGATTGTCAATACAGCCTAGCGATTAGGCAGATAAAAACTGTTCACTATCGCTTGTGACTGGCATGCGCAGTCCTCATTCAGTTTCATTGCAATGACATCGAAACGCTTGCTGACTCGCCGGATAATTTTGCTCTTTATGCTCTCAGTTATATTTTCGAGGTAATAAATCTGAACTTCTTTAGAAAAAATTTCAACGTAGTATAAAAATTCTTTCACTTATGCTACTGAATTAGTGATTGGTAGTATAGCAAGCGTAGAGTTCGTTGCAGTTGACTTGAATTCCAATTCTGGAATTGCGCTTGCGATCTCAATGTTGCGATTGCTTCAGTTTCTCTATTTCCTTGCGTATATTTTCTCGGGCCTGCTTCTCGTAGCGCTCTTGGAATTCCCGCGTGGCATAAACATTCGGGATGAGCAGCAAAGATTGCAGAATCTGAGGAGAAAGCATTTCAGTTACAGGAGTTGTTATTTTTATTTTATAAGCAGGAAAATTTTATGATAATCCAAACACCATGATTTCTTTTTGACATTGTTGCTTTCTGGACAGTTTTTAAATTACATTAATTACAGTGTTAGCTCAGTAATTATTTGTATTCAAGCTTCTTTATCAGGGATTATCAACGCCAAGTAATTTTGATAATCTTCAGGTTGTTGTGATTTCTTCAGATTAAAAGCAAATGCGCCTGAGCTGCTGATCTACCAATAACACTGAAGATATTAAATAAGAGGACCAGAAAGTTCATGTCAAGGCTATAAATAATGAAACAGCTGCCGATGCAAAGTTTGATCATGCGCCTATGTAATTAATGTTTCATTGATATAATAAACGGTAGTTTAGAGTCGCATATAAGCATTTCTTTTCCAACCTCTTCTCATGGTTTGTATACATTCTTCATACATCATTACATTAAGCCAATACTTTATATACACCTATTTCGTATAGGGAAGCAAGTAGTTCCTGTACCTTGAGCCTGAGTTGTTTGTAGGCAGCATCAGAGAGATGGGTATACTCGGCCTGCACCCTGGCCGTATACAGTTCGTACTCGGGGGGCGGCGCCCCCAGCACGGCGATGAGCGCGTCCAGGAGGTAGTGGCGGTCCTCCGCCCCGCTGCTCCCCACCGTCATGTGCTCCTCCGTCAGGTTACTTTTGCTCGCCTCCAGCAGCTCTAAGGTGCATTTCGCTCTCTCGTCCTGCAGTAGAACGCGATTCCAATGAAAATTGTGGGTTTTTCTATATTTTTCTCATCATGAATTGAATCTTATTAAATTTTATATGGTATAATACCTGAATTCTTGCAAAAAAAAGGTCTGAAGTGTTCCAGTTGAAGAATGGGAGGTTTAAAATAAAGTTTAATGTACATTTTACTTCCTGCATATTAAGAAACATTTTCACTGCAGAAACAAAATATCTTAGCAAAATGTAGGCACTTTCATTAATAACAATTAGTAATACATAGTTGAAGAGCGATTAACAGAATCAAGAGTAATTTTGCACTGTACTTATTAAAAAAGAAACTTTGAAGTATCATTTGTATTAAGCTGATTTAACGCTGGCATCCCGTAGCTGAATATTTTTTTTATGAATATTGATCTGGAAAAAAAAATATTGATCGACCTCTTCGTGGTCGATCTGAGCTTCTTGCAGGAATTGTTTGTATCTCTCCACGCAGGCAGCGTCGCCGTCGCCTGAGCTTGGGTCGTACTCCAGTCTGGGGGAACGATAGACGCGACACAAGATTAGTGAATCATTCATGAATTAATACATGTTTTTCATCACGTCACATCGTATGGCCTATGTTCAAAACCACACAGAAAGGAACACATCCCACTCCCCCTTCATAACGTAACTTCAAAATTACACGCTAATCTTTAAGTGAACTTTGGTTTTTATTCAGCTTTAATTTTCAATAAATGGTTTTCGGTCTAATTAGTGCGCGGTTCGTAAGTACGTTTTTTCCTTTCTCTGATGTTTATCTCTCGAAGTCATTGACGTAAGAAACAATTTAGCGTTGCACAGCTATCTTATATAAATAAAACCGTTATGCATGGGTAGAAATTATTTCATCGACGGCCTGCTCACTGAATATTCCATTGAAATTATTCAAGGTGATGTTTATCTATGGTTCAACTTCAATAAATAAATGAAAACGTCTGCTGTGAATCTAAAAAAAACATGAATGATTATAATATGTACTTACTTCTGGAAAAATATGGCCATGGCAACTGCTTGCGGTGATTTTAATTTTTCTATGTTTTCCTTTACGAATTGAAATGTTCTTAATAAATAATCATGATTGTGATACTTTCTGTCTTCGCTGGAATACTTTTCGACTACATGAGACCACCATTTATCTGAAACTTCAGCACTACAAAAATCTGACAAGGCCTTATCCCATTCTCTTTTTAAAATATCTAAATCTGACATTGTGTGAAACGGGTGTGGTGTTGATTCGTCGATGCAACTTCAGATAAAAAATTTTGTCCAGTTATTCACTGTGAGACCACGCGCTGCACATCTACCACGGTCAAGAGTTGCGACTCGACTGAGTCGTGAAGGCACTTATTGATCGGTATCTGCATTCAGATTTATGGAAATGTATTTTTTGTTTTAAAATTCTATTTTGCCAGATTTTTAACAACGCTTATTGAAGTATTTGATATTTTATTCTATGCAAATACGGTATAAAAGAAATTGCTAATGAAACCTGTTATCTGCCATACCAAAATGATTACCGATATAGTATACCCTGCTTAATATAGTCAAACCTCTCGCTATATGTATTAGGTACCCGACTCAACGGGGATTTCACAAATTTTTATTTTTAAAATTATTTTAAGAGAATTTTATTCGCTATCAGACTGTAAAAATAATCTACCTACATAGTAGGTGATTGATTTCACAATCTCGGCTAAATTAATTATAAATTTATAATATGTATAGAAAAATTGTGAACCTGAATTTTAATATGTATTTTGTCCATATTTTAAGAATTATATCCAAATTTTCCAATGAAAATCAATGCTAAAATGGCCTCATTGCTTGATTGAGTAACATGAAAGAGTAATCACTTACGAATATTTGTGGAGCTAATGGTTCCTCTATAAGGTTGACCCTTGAGAAGCTCATTTTTGCGGATGTAGTTGGTTTTTCGCCCTTGGCGTCACTGATCTCAGTGATGACACGGGCGTTAACCAATCCCCAAAATGCTATTAAACCAGACAACCAATCCGTCACGAGAATGACGGTATTGTTTACGTTTCTCGATCTACGTGATGTAGCAAGAAAGCTGAACTGAAAGACAAAAATCCCTGTGGGTCAAAATATGCTCTAATTATTTTACATAAATCCGTGTTTTAGGAATTTGTGATAATCTTACCTAAAATTGTTTACTATTCTGTATATCTGTCTGTACGTTGACGACTGACCGTCTGTCACTCTGAGTGATTGAGTCTGACGTGTGGATTCCGTTTGGAGCTCTGATGACGAGTGGTTCTTTGGTCGGATTGGTCCGTGATGTGGAATGTGGATGGACAGTCCAGATTACGGCGAGAATCGCCTCTGGTGGCGTGGAACACGCCGTCAAGTGTCAACTAGAGAAGATCAAGATGTGGATGGACCAGGGCCCCAGGGGCTAGTCTGGAAAAGTCCTATTTTTGTCTGAAATAT